CTTATCACCATTCCCAACGTCTTGCTCATTTACTCTGTTTACAATGACGCTACTTTCCACAACGATGGTCTTCAACTGGATATATTATATGGCGTCGAACAGGACGCTCTTGCATTGTTTTTGGAGTGTTCAGGGCGGCAAGGATTCATATTGTGGTGTTTTGGGTTAAGGAACTGTGTAGCCTGGAGGTGGGTACCAACAATTTGGAGAACTCGCTCACTTCATCTCAACGTCTATCTCGGACACAGAGGCAGCAGTTTCCTCCGAAACACTGGTAACCACTTATCAGACTAAACGGTGTCAAAACCCAGAAGAACGCAATATGAAACTGCACAGAGTTTTCTAAAGCAGTATCCAGAAAGTGGTTGGAATATCTGGATGGAGAACTGGGAGCAAGGCTTCTATAGCTACAGGAACTAGCAGAAAGACACACACAGATAGCTATGAACACAGTGGGATTGCATCCCATGAGCGGTACGAAGACATAATCACTGATTTCGAAAATGGAATGCCACGTTACGAAAAGTAGGCACTCAGCATTAAACTAACTGTAACATAAGAACATTAATCAATCCTATGCACTTAAGAAAATGCATTCAATCGTACTTACCATCCCATGAACTAGATTCGATCCACGCCAGAGCATTGAACAAAGCAGCAGTACCGCCATAGCAGGCGTTAGTAGTGTCTATGCCCTCGACATCATGGTTACCACTCTCCTCAAACAGCTGCATCAGTACAGTCTTTACGCTTTTGGATTTATCTATTATGGTTTCTGTCCCAACCTGTAGATATCCAATGCTGGAATAGTCTGCAATCACATAAGACATGAACGAAGCGAAATATGAATAAAGGGCACAAAACTGGACTTCATTACAGCCATCAAGAATAGTGTTTACGCCACTAGAAAATCTTGATGTTGATCATGACTGCAGTGGGAGTCGAAGGCGTGCCTTGCCTTCCACCGTTCGGACATCGAGATTAACGATTTGAATCCCACCGTGGGCATGGATATGTCTCCTGAATATTGAAACAGGACGTTAATCCTGAATCAGAACAGGCCAGGGGGCGTAATCCATAAAAACTGAAGCAGAGTAAGAAATAAAAACAAAACAAATACGCCGTGGTTTGAGTCCGCAAGCAAACTATACCAGCCGAGCAACCGCCGGTTGTCGGCGAAGTTAGTGCCAACTTTAGCAGATAGAGGTTGTCGCATGGTGAGCAGAACGAATCCCCACTGCCGTTAGTCTCGATTTTCTAGACCGGAGCCGCTGTTTCCTTGAAATAGCTCCTCAATTATCCTCATGAGGCTGAGTGGACCCCGTTCCAGGCTCACTACTTCTCAGATAATCTGGTAGAGCCGAGAATCGAACCCGGGACCTCTGGATCTGCGGCCATGAATTCTGACTACTATAAACGATGAAGAAATTTTCAGTCTCTTCTCTTTCTCTTGTTCTGCCTTTTACTGGTTCTTCTACCCATCGGCAAACTTGTAAAAAATAGTTCAATCTCCACTTAATTTCCTCCTGAATCAGGTTTTGATTTATTATCGTCGTTCCCAAATATCTTAATTGTACCACATTTTCAAAACATCTGTTTCCTATCTTTATGTCATGATTTTGCCCTGCATTCTGGTGACGAGACTGCAACATATACTTAGTTTTCTCTGTGTTTACTTCTAGACTAACCCATCCTACTAAGAGTATAGATTCACAAGCCAATATTCACTTAGCTACCCAATAATGCATTAGTGAATTCCAGAAAGAAGAAAACGAAAAGAGGTTAATTTTACATTAGTAGACACAAGCTGCTCAAAAATATTTGTCAGATAGTTTCATCTTCATTCCAAAAGCCGGAGTGAAGGGTGGGGGGAAAGATACAGTTATATGTCTACTCCCCTGTTTCATAAAACTTAAGGAAACTGCTTGTTAGCAAAATGTGTTGCAGATTGACTCAAACATTTGTTGACAAAAGTTGTGTTCTAATCTATCAAATATAAACGGCAGATTTATTTATGCTTTGATATTTCTTAAAGAATATGCAAATTATCGAATTTTTAAAAGCCATGGACTGACTTGAAAGATTTTCTCGAGGAACTTTACTAAACTGTATGATAGAATAAAAGAAGTATATGTATTTATAGATTACCGTCTAATTAAAAAAGAAAAGTAATCTTTTAAATAGTTACAGACTCTCCCAAACTATTCCCATTCTAATATATCCTAAAGCAGTCAGTCCTGAAATGAAACATAGCAACTATAGTTATTTTACAAATATTATAAGTTGCAACACTAGCCACAGGAGTCGGGATAGCGCGGTCGGTAAAGCGACTAGTTACTGGTTGGACGGCCGAGGGGTCGGAGTTCGAGTCCCGCTAGCGTTAAGAATTTTCTCTACTCTCCCGTCGTCCAGACTGGCTCTGGGGTCTACCCAACCTCCTATCCAATGGGTAAAGGGGGGCTCTTTCCGCGGTGGTAAAGCGGCAGAGGCGTGAAGCTGACCATTCACCTCCAGCTAGTGCCAAGGTCAAGAAAACGTAGGTCTATACATTCAGTCCCCCATACGCCTTCATGGCATGGTGCATAGTTAGTTAAGCACAGGGACAACTTTGCCTTTACCTTTCACATTTTTTTTTCCTTTGGCGCTACAGCCCTCATTTTGGGCCTAGGCCTACCTCCATGAAACTCTCTGTTTCACTTCGGTTTACTAGATCTTAAACATATGGTAGGACTCCTTGGGCGAGTGATCAGCTCGTCGCAAGGCCTTACCTTTCACATTAGCCAAAAATAAAATATGTTCATAAGAAACACGTCAGAAAACATAAGTGGATGAAGAAACAAGATGTTTTTAATAAATGTGTCTGACGTGAAATATACGTATATAGCAAAATTCTGCAAACTGTGTTGACAGGATTATGTTTTATACCATTACCCTAAGAATTAAAGATCAAGATATTTGTTTTAACCGCTTGTTACACACATACACACAAGCAGAAGGATGTTCATGTTATTGCAGTCTGTAAAATTAAGATATCCTAGAACATTTATTCATATCAGACTCTTCTGACAGAGACGAGAGGAAAGAATTTGATTGTACAAGGAACTATGCATTTTACATAAATAACTCCACGAAGCAGACTACTTCTTGAAAACCAACAGTTGCCCGGCCACTCAAGAAATTTTCAGAATTTTGTGGAACCAGAAGGTTAGTTATCGTGTTCATAGGAGCCCACCACTGGTCTCTATTCTGAGCCAGATGAATCCAGTCCAACCCCCCCTCCCCCCACATATTTGCAAGAATATTTAGAGAGGGGACCCGAATGGTTATAGCATAATGCTTGTAATTCAGCTTTTTTTGGTTATAACGTTCTCCTAGTGCTTGAAACGAATTATCAGACCCTTCTGACAGAGATGAAAGGAAAGCATTTGATTGTACAAGGAACTATGCATTTTACATAAATAACTCCACGAAGCAGACTACTTCTTGAAAACCAACAGTTGCCCGGCCACTCAAGAAATTTTCAGAATTTTGTGGAACCAGAAGGTTAGTTGTCGTGTTCATAGGAGCCCACCACTGATCTCTATTCTGAGCCAGATGAATCCAGTCCAACCCCCCCCCCACCCCACATATTTGCAAGAATATTTAGAGAGGGGACCCGAATGGTTATAGCATAATGCTTGTAATTCAGCTTTTTTTGGTTATAACGTTCTCCTAGTGCTTGAAACGAATTATGGGAAGGGAAAGTTTCGATATTGTGTAACAAAATTTCGAACTCAAGAAACCATGAAATACCTTTGACACATTCTATGAGGCTGTGCATAAAAATCTTTTATTTCAAATCAGTCTCGTCTTCTCTCACATTTGCGCTGATAACTCTAGTGTGGGATTGGCTGATGATGTTTCTTCTCCCTTCTTTTCTTTTTGAGTTCTATGTTTCAGTTTTCTGTGCTGTAATTTATTTGTGAAATGTGCTGGACCCGTATTTTTCTAATCAGATGAGTTGTTTTACACAAGTAAACAGTCTTCGGATCAAATCATTGGGGATATTTTTGTTACTTACCAATGTTATTTCTCTGCATGAGTTTGCTAACAACGGTAAGACAGAGGGAGTTGATGTCCTCTCTGTCAGTACAGAAGCCCATCCTGCTCTGACCAAGTCCCAGTGTGTATTTCCCTGCTGGAACCTTGTCATACACTTCCAGTTCACTTTGTTCCACGTATTGTGACGGAAAAATCAGCTCAATGGCCAAAATGCCGACACCTTCAGGCCAATGACTCATGTTTAAGCTGTAGGAACATAAACCATTTCCATTAACTTAAATACAGAGGAACTTCTGCAAGAAAACAGCAGTTCGTTCCGCCTGTAAGTACAGTAGACTCTCGATTATCCGCGCGCTGTTTAACCGCTTTGCGGCTCAACCGCGGCAATGTATTTTTAAAGATTTTTTTTTTTCAGTGAGTATCACATTTGTTTAAATGTTTTGTATGACAGTCAATGTTAGTTTACTATAATTTAGAGAGAACTGTACTCGCATTTACGTCATCCATCGATATTCTCCCGTTATTTTTCTTAAAAGCTCGAAATCAGGTTTCGAAAGCTCGAAACCTACCCTTTTTCCAACANATTTGTTGCCCCTAATAATAATTTACATGAATATCAAATACAATAGGCAAATCCAGTCAACTGTTCATAATGAAATAAAAATATACATAGGGATTTATACATGTACGTTATGTACTACATGCATTATACTCTTGGTTTTTTGGCTTTAAAGTAGAACCTAATGCAATTTGCATTGCAGTTTCAAATTTTCTGCTTACAAATATGTTCTCAAGGTTATCCTGCAACCGTTAAATAAATGCGCTAAATTATTACGTAACAATTTATTCAAAACTTTTTAGAGGGGTCTGGTCGGGGTCTGGTCTACTGATGGTCGGGGATAGGGGCTGTCTCCGCATAGTGTGTTGCATTACACTAAAATCGCCCAAAACACAATTCATAAAACAGAGGTATTGTCGACTAGAGGTGGTATTTGAATTCGGGTGGTCTTTTAGACATGTCGGGTAAACAGCCAACATAAATTCGTTCATATTATGTGATAAAGTATGTTATGGATTACAACGGTACGCAACCATACGAGTATAACTTGTATTGATGACGTAATGACATGTGACCAGCTGACAATGATGCAACCGTCTTCACGTTCGTGTTGAATAATGGATTCCAGACTATAAGTTTATACGTAACCCGTGCTTAACCACAAACAGACGATTCTGTATACTTTAATGTCAGCTTTTAAGATTACGCTTATTTCAGCATCGTTTTTACTGGTCCTTTTCTGACGACTCGTGGAAATAACTTCACGGCCATTTTGGAGGGCGTCAGCTCTCACTCTGCGAAACTTTGTTACAAGTACGAAGAGTAAAAGAGTGCGCTGTTCACATTTTGAATGCCAAGTAGAGTTCAGAAAACTGAAACTGAAATCGACTATGAATACAGTAAAACTTGGTTATAGCAACATCGGTTTCTGCGACACCTTGTCTATTGCGTCAAATATTCAATGGTACGAACTAATTCCTCATAAAGCAACTGTTTTTATACCTTGCTTAGTACGACATGCACAAATGCATCAACCTCATATGTAA